CACGTTGTCATGGTGAAGCAGCTATGACTTGTCCTGCCACAGCTCTGGCCTCTTCTTGCACACTGGACAAAGCAAACGCTGCAGGATCTCTTTGTAGACATGCTGGTTGATCGTCTGAAGGGGAAAACTCGTAGTTTGTAGTTTGGGTTTGAAATATATCTTTTGTGACACCAGTACTGGAACTTTTCTGACACACCTCGTACATCCACTCTTGTTATTTTTGGTCTAGTCTAAATCTCCCATATGTCAGTTGTCAAGTTAACACTGGTTGTTGTTTGTTCTTCTCCCAGATCCCTCTCCTCATGCGAGGCAGAAGCCGCCGGCCACTGACCTCCCCTACAAGACTGAAATCAGCAGCCTCATGGACTTCAACTCTCCGGATGCCTCGCTGGACAAAGGTAAGCCTGAATTAGTTTTATAGAATTACAGCTGGTTGGTGTAAAAAGAAAACAGACAGCTCTGCTTTGATAGTCAAGAATGTGGTGGATGTTCAGGTGATATGCATCCGGACTGGACACACATGGGAATATACTGTCCACACAGAAATTTGGACCTGAAAATAAATTTTACCCCGTGTAAATCCACAAGAGCTTGAGATGGAGCTGAAGTGTCTTTTCCAAGGTTACACCAGGATTTCATTTGGGGGAGCATTTGCTGTTTGCACCAGTCTTCGTAGCGATGAGCATCAATTATTCCTGTAGCTAATAAGGACTGTTGTTATCAGCCCAGGTTGTTCTAGGTATGCATCGATCAGCTACAAGAGTGAAACCGCCCTCCTAATATTGTTTAGCTCCAACTCGTGCTGCCAAAACAGCTTGGACCTGCCAAGGCTGGGACTCCACAAGATCTCTTAAGGTTTCCTGTGGCATCAGGCAACAAGATGTTAGCAGCAGATTCATTCACTCCTACAAGTTGCTCGTTGGGGCCTCTAAGGATCGGACTTGTTTTTCCCCCCACATCCCACAGACGCTCGATTGGACTGAGATCTGGGGGATTTGGAGGCCAAGTCAACATGCTGAACTCTTTGTTATGTTCCCCAAACCATCAATACATGTTTAAGCAAACAGGTTGTATTTGTAAGGAGGAAGTGAGGTTTTCTTATAACTAGTTTAACATGTTGAAAAGTGGTAATTGCTGCAGTTTTATGAGAAGCGTTTAATTTACTTTTTGCTGAAATGTTATTACAGTCTTTTTCAACTCTTGATGGATGTTCAGTCACTTGTTTTACAAAAAAAAAAAAAAGAAGAAAAGAACACATCCCAAGGAGCAGCCATTAAACTCTAAAGTGTATTTACGCCCATAACTGCTGTCTGCCTGGGTGGTCAGACGAGTCTGGCATTAGCGTCATCGTCTCTCCAGGCAAACACACTTAAAGTAGTTTGTCTGTACTCTGTTTCCATGTTCTACCACTTTTAATGACAAAAGCTTCTTTCAAAGACTTGGAATCTTGTAGAGAGGATCAAAGATGCTAACGATGGCACCAGAACAAAAGTGTCTCTTGAATAGTGTATCCTCTAAGGCTGCCAGCTCCAGTATGGATCTCTAGTGTCACCCAGGCAGGCCTCAGGGGACCTTTCCTCATTAGAGTGTCCTGCTTAGGTGTCTATTTGGCTGCCAGTTCTCTCTTCTCTCCTATTACGTCTGTCGATGCTGTGATGCTACCAACAGTGTTCACAAATAGTCATTTATCGTCGCTATACGACAGCCATTTTCCTTTGATGGCTCACTCAGGGTGCGAAGCTCAAAAGCTGTTATCAGAAAGGTAATGCTATGTGGCAGATTGAAAGTCATATAAATGTAAGGAATATGACATAGTGTATTGTTTGCACCGCTTGCTTGATCAGCAATGGAAAGAATAAAGGATAGCGGATACCTGAAGGGATATTGGACCATATTTCACGTTAAAAAGCATATTTGATAACCTATTAACTTTGAAGATAGCATTCAACCACTTCCAAGGTAACATTGCTGTTTGATAAATTTGATAAATGACAGTAAATCAATTTAGAAACATCAACACACAGCTTGAACACATTTATTACTTACTGGATGCAATTAGACTTGCAATGTCATATTAACTGTCTGCCGTCTTAGCGATGTTCTAGTTAAATCAGTGGCATGATGGGATAGATTTTCAGTTGTGTGAAAAGACAGCAAGACATTAGTCCATGTCGTGTGCACTTGATATGGATTAATGTACGGCTTTCCAGTTGTATAATGCAACACTATCAAACGTATGTTTTGCGAGGAGGTGGCTGAATGCTAACGTTGACTTTTGTCTAAAGCTGGAGGAAAGTTGTTGCTGTGTCAATGTGTGTAATTGTTCACAAAAAGTCAAACAAACTAGTTACAACTTGTGGCGGAACGTAACTCAGAACTGTGATTAAGTGCAATGTGTAGGCGCTTGGACTTTTAGTTTACTTTTGTATTTCCATTTCTGGCATCAATCTCTGTTGACACTACTTATGCAAAATTAAATAATGTACTTCTACTACATTGCCCGGAAAGATGTTTTTTTTAATTTAAAACTCAACAGCATTAAAGCCACTTAAAGTGAATAACAGTGACCATCTTACTACAAGTCAACGTTCTGCTGAGAAACTTTGGGTTCTGACTTTCTTGTGAATGTCAGTTTGATGTTACCACCCACCTAAACATTGCTGCTCACCCGTCATGGCAACAGCAGCGGCCTCCTCCAGCAGGACAATGAGCCTCGGAAAACCACAAAAACTACAACAATAACAACAAAGAGCCCAAGGCGTGGACTTGGCCTCCAAACTCCCCAGATCCCAATCAGATCAAGCATCTGTGGGATGTGCTAGAACAAGCCTGACCCACAGAGGCCTCCCTGCAACCCACAGGATGCTAATATTCACTGCTAAAGTCAGACACCATAGAATATCACCACGGGTGCTGTGTCCATGCTCCGATGGTACGGAGGTATTTTCGTTGCATGAGGGGAAATGTTAGGTTTGAATTTTGTGGCTTGCATTGTATGATAACTTGTTTAGAAATCTTGTATTTAGAAGTCAGGACAGCAGCTATTGCACTTGATGAGTTAGTGATCTGGAGCAGTTGATGCTTTTTCTCTTTTGTTTTTTTAAATGAACACATTTGGGCATGCATAAGTACACACTCTCCTGCAGCATGAAGCAGCTGGTGCATTAGTTCCATAGTTGTTTCCTGGGTGCTGTAAATGTGCAGACTCAGGAAAAACACACACACACACACACAACCCCTGCAGTGGCCAAGGCCACGTATATCACTACAAGTTTCATCAGAATGAGAACAGGGAACTGAGGGGCTGTGTTATCAGCAAATTCATCTCAGTTCTGCAGTAAGAGAGAGACAGGGAAGGAGAGGGGAAACAAACGTAAGCAGCCGGCACTGGATCATTATGGAGACAGGTGCTGCTTCTGCACATTAAGTGTGGCAATGATGTCACCAGCCGGGTGAGGCTTGGCGTCTGCACAACTTTAAGTAGGAAGGTCAATACAAGAAGTCAAACAGGGCTTCCAGAAAAAAATAGGCTTCGGAGTGCGAGACCGAGAGGTGGAAACAGGAGGGAAAAAGAGTTGAAGAGCACGGTGAGGATGAGGACAAGGTGAAAGATTGTATCAGGACACATTGTTGCCTGCATATGTATTCTGATTAATGAGAGAAAAATCAGGCAGAGGAGAGGCAAGGAGAGAGACAGAAACGAACAAAAGGACAATAAAGTTAGGGAGAGTGTGAAGATGTATGTGTGGGTGAATGTGCAGAGCGGTCTCTGCTGAGTACCTCCATTTTTCTCATGTGCTGACACTTTCCAAAACACCTGCCCCCATCAAAGACCTCTTATAGCCACAGAGAGAGTGGCAGCTAAATTGCCTTCAGCAACAATATCCAGGCCTCTCCACTCTAAATTACACACATCAGAAATAGCCACTCCGAAATGCTTGGACAGAATTGGTATAGTTGGACTTTGCTTTTCTTTATGTGACTCATGTAACTTAATTATACCTGAATGCAATAACTGGGCACAGCAGTATTGTTGTTTTGGATGTGTAATAGTCACAAGGTCACGGTCACTAAAAAGACCGTTTTGATGTAATCCAGCCAGACTGCTCATATGACCGGAGAAAAGCAAAGAAAAGCACAGCAAGCTGGATACATAATCAGTATAGACATGTATGGAGTTTTGCTGTGGGTCCACAGAAATGTGATCTTATGAAATCTCAGAAAATACGCTGCAATGTCTATAGATGAAGGGCTTGTGTGTGTGTGCTTGTGTGTCTTCTGGTCTTTCCATTTAATGCTACTGAGAGGTTGAAACTTGCACGGGGAGGAGGGAAGAAATCTGATTGTCTCCAGTCTTTGTTACGGCTTCATTAACTGCTGAAAAGTGGAACTCAAAGGTCATGAAGTCACCAAGTTACATTTCAGTGGCTCTACATTATAATTGTCTGTGCTGAAAGGCTTTATTTAAGTAGTCTTCAAAGGAACCATTATTTGTTTCTAAAAACTGCACGTGGGTGGATGACAGTGTGAGCGTGCAAGACTTGGTTGCATTGGAACAAACTAACAAATTAAGAAACAAATCAGAGAGATGCAAACTTAAATCAGCCTCTCTTCCTCCACTGAGCCTTTTGCAACTGCTGTTGCTGTTTCTTGTTCTTCTGTTGTTGTTTCTTCTTCTCTCTGAATCCCATAGAACCCATTCAGAGGCAGGTTACACTACTGAAGTAAATCTAAATAAATTAGCCTTTCAAGCTGTTATATTAAACACATTATTGACTAAATTTAGCTCTCGAGATGTGCTGTTCTGTTGATTCAGCTAATTAATCAAGGTTTTTATGTGTACTCTAGACCTTGACACCAGAAATTCAGGTGTAAAAATATGTCAGCGCACACACACCTACCTAGCACACACTGCATTTTTTTCATTCAACTTGTCAAGTAGTAGCTTTATTGTCATTGCAACCCAGCTGGTGCAGCGCAGGGTGAAATTAGACGACGTTTCTCAGGTGCAACACAGAATTACATCAGACGAACACAGAACTACGGAAAGGTGCACGTGTGCGAACATGCACAAACACCGAAGGCCAGTGCAACATTTACTGAAGCAAGACAACAAGCACAGTGAAGGACAGAACAGCACCGAGCGTTTAATTACTGTGACAGTTGATAAGCTTTGTGCTCGCTGCATGTATGTGAATGTGTCTGATGTGTACCAGCGCACACGGCTATTTCTTTAGCAAATTAAGCAGATGCAGCAAATTCGTTAACCGTTGTGTAACAGCTTAGCATGGCATCGGTTTCCTTAGTTCCTTTTAAGTTTCCAATTTATTGACTTAAAGGACAAGTGTGGAGGAGTTAGAGGGGATTTGTTACAAGAAATGCAATATAATATTCATAA